GGGTGCCAGAGAGTACACAACAAGCATTGGCATATTTAAAGGTAGATTTTGTGTACGTGTCATGGGGTATGCGTGGGAGTGGGGACTGGGTTGCGAGGAAACGGGTAATGGCAGCTACAGTGATCCCTCGCTTTTCGTAGTTCTCGGGAATCATAGATTTCGGAAATCATAGGGATATTTTAGTACATGTATAAACATGGGCTCGCTAATCATAGGTTGACTCGCGAATAGTAGTTCGTCCGGGACACGTACACACAGTGTGAGCCGGGGCGGCCTCCCTACCCAGCCAGTCTGGCATTGTTTACCAGTGACCAAAGGTCCCCTCACGTGCTCCTACGAAATATTTCATAATATCCCACTCATTTTAGTGCTTGCAAGTACTAAATAAGCTACCATGGCTCCAAAGAAAGCTCCTAGTGCCAAGCCTGTGGTAAAGAAGGTGAGAAATACAACTGAATTTAAGAAAAACATCATTGAACAATATGAAAGTGGCACAAGTGCAGCCGAAATGGCCAGGATGTACAAGAAACCCTACAAAACCATATTTCCATACTGGCCAAGAAAAAGGAAATCAAGGACACTGTTGCTGTTCCTGCTGCAAGAGCTTCAGCAGGAACAGCAACAGATCGCAGCTCAGAATCTTGCTGCATAGGAGGAGGAAGAGAGATGGAAGAAGGTGCCTTCAGAAATTAACGAGATTTTTGCTATGTGGGGTAAGATGGAAAGCTTTATGGAGAAACATCACCCTGACAAGGTTGTTGCAAGCCATGTTGGCAATATGTACAGTGACAGTCTTGGGCCATTTTAGGGAAGTGTTAAAGAGACGCGAGAAACAGAGCTCTCTCCACAGTTATTTTGCGAGACAGGACTCCAGTGACTCTCAAGGTGGTCCTAGTGGCATTAAGAAACAGAAGAGAAGCAACCCCAGAAAAGCAACTGGTACCTGAGGTGTTGCTGGAAGGGGATTCCCCTTCCAAACTATAAACAATCCACTCGCTCTCCTCCTCCAGTCTCCCATACACTAAGAAGAATCTCCAATAAAGGTAAGTGTTATGCTGTTAATGTGTCATTCATCATTTCCCATTGTATTGTTTATGTACTACATCTATATTTCATGTAAAAAAATTTTTTGTTTTAATACTTCTGGGAGTCAGGAACGGATTAATTGTATTTACATTATCTCTTATGGGGAAAATTGATTCGCAAATCGTAGATTTCAATAATAGTAGCAACTCCAGGAACAGATTAACTACGAAAAACGAGGGACCAATGTACTTTTTATAGGACAGTTTGAAGGAATAGGGAAATATATGGATCGCGGTGGGAGGAAGCCTACCCTGCAGGTTATCGTGGTTTAACTATTGGGATCTTACTAGCTTTGTAGTGGGGGGGATTGTCATGGCTGGGGCAAGGATTGAGAATGTCATCCAGGGTTCCAATGGGCTCACCGTCGAGTGTGTGTGTGTGTGTGTGTGTGTGTGTGTGTGTGTGTGTGTGTGTGTGTGTGTGTGTGTGTGTGTGTGTGTGTGTGTGTGTGTGTGTGTGTGTGTGCGTGCGTGCGTGAGTGTGTGCGCGTGCGAGTGTGTGCGCGTGCGAGTGTGTGCGCGTTGTGTGCATGCGAGCGAGTGCGAGTGTGTGCGAGTGTGTGCGAGCGAGTGCAAGTGTGTGCGAGTGAGTGCGAGTGCGTGTGAGTGCGTGCGCGCATGTGTGCAAGTGCATGTGTGTGTGCACGAGTGCACATGGCTTAGATGTAAACGAGGGACGGTTCAGTGTGGTTAGTAGGTGTTAGGATGTACGTGTGATGACAGCTGGATTAAGCGTGTAATCCAGTTTGGTAGTGGGGATTTTAGGTTTATATTTTTGCGTACGTGTCCCACAGGATGATGACTGCATTACCCTCTGTGTATATAACGCCTTGCTATGCTTGGTCACTTACCATCACACCTATGTAAGAGGGTTGAGGTATATATTATTTTTTAGAGGTATTGTATGCATGTATGCTGTAAGAATGCTTGGGTGTGGTTTGTTGTGATTGTGATACTGTTGCGATGTGACAGGCTTATATGCTCATGTAAAGCTAGGAGAATGAGTGACAGGGTAATGTATACTGCTGAGAGACAGTGGGTGGTTGCCCAGATGAGGGGGAAGACGGGTGGTAAGGAGTGTTGAAGTGACTGACTTTGCAACTTTATAGTGTTTATTGTATACACCTTGTTTTGTACAATGACCTTTGTTCAGTGAATAGGTTGTGATAGAGTAGTTTATTTACGTGTTCGCATTAGGTTACAGAAGCCTGTGCTGCGATATTGAATTTTGTTGATAGCATATTTAATCTTATATGATATATCAATTGTATGTGTACAACGACATGTTCATTCAGTAATTGGCCACTGTGTTTGGCGGAGGTGTGTGCAGCTCCGGAGGATACAGATACTTCTGTATGATTTAACCCCAGGATGGGGGTAGTTACTAGGAATGTGTTTTTCTTGTTACATTAATATATATGTGTGATGTCTTCTTTACTTAACTCTACACGAGTACTGTTGTTTTGGTCCGCTGCACATCACACTTATGTTGAAGTGAGACATGACAATGCTACGTGTTTTTCATATATATATACTGACAGGTTGCTCGAGTGGTGTGTAGTGTGCTTGTAAATTTTATCGTTTTCCTGTGTCGGATTTCTTCTCCTGTGCACAATGTGTGTGGTGTGTGTGGTGTGTGTGGGTGTGTGTGTGTTGTGTTGTGTGTGTTGTGTGTGTGTGTGTGTGTGTGTGTGTGTGTGTGTGTGTGTGTGTGTGTGTGTGTGTGTGTGTGTGTGTGTGTGTGTGTGTTGTGTGTGTGTGTGTGTGTGTGTGTGTGTGTGTGTGTGTGTGTGTGTGTGTGTGTGTGTGTGTTACTCACCTAGTTGAGGTTGCGGGGGTCGAGTCCGAGCTCCTGGCCCCGAGTGTGTGTGTGTGTGTGTTATTTTCTTTATGTACTTATTGTTCTCAGTATGTCTATTCTGTATATATGTATTATGTTTGTCTGTACAAGATATGCTCTCAATAAAATATAAAAAAAATTAAAGACATGCTGCGCTACAAAAATTAATATTTTCGCTGTCCTGCAAAACAATTTGTACGAGAAATACTTATTCCATAGTGTACACAAGTTCCATCTATTGCAAAATGTAAACTAATGCCACAAGTGTATATCTATTGCAGTATATAAACTAATTCCACAAGTGTACCTATTATTGCAAACTGATTAATGTTCATGTAAGTAACTCTGTTCACTTCATTCCTATTTCACTGCCTTTTAGTTTAATTTTCAGTCAAGTTACTTAGCAGTTTTAATTTTTAAAGGTTATAATCACGATTGATTTCTACTGTATCTTACAGCTAGGCTTTAAATAGTAAGTTATTACAAGACCCCAATGGAAATCAATCACTTCATTTGACTGAGTTATCCTGGTGGATAATTTACACGTTACTATGTTATTGTAGTCACCCACATTTATGTAACTGCACCTGAGTACTTGTACTTACATAAACTTACTAAGGAATCACACTAGTGTTTCCTTCCAACTGACAACTCAGCACTGTATGACCCTAGTATACTGGCTTAGTGCTTCCTTTTGTTTATAACAATAATTCCAACTGACTACCAAGCAAATCTACATATCCTTTTACTATTTGGAATAGTCATATAAAGCACTGAAACAGTTGGGAGTCATAAGAACATAAGAAAGAAAAAACACTGCAGCAGGCCTACTGGCCCATGTGAGGCAGGTCATTCAGCACGACTGAACAAGTTTAATGTAATATAATTATTTGTTTGAAGTTAAAGCAGAAGAATTTTAGGTTAAAGAGCTATTGTCTGCATGTGTATCATTAATCACAATTTACCTGAACATTATTCAGGAGCAAGTGCACTCAGCTCACACGCTGAGGTCCATAGCTCGAATCTCCTCCGGTACGGCTGGAAAACATTAGGGATGTTTCGATAAGACACCTTCTGTCCCTGTTCACCCATCAGTATAAAGTGGGTACCTGGGTGTTAGTCGACTGATGTGGGTTGCATCCTGGGACAAAACTGACCTAATGTGCCTGAAATGCTCTGCATAAGAAGTGGCTTTCTATATAGTAATATGTCATTGATGTCAGCTAGGCCTGTACATGTACTTGTAGAAATAAAGATATTATTAAATCTCTAAAAAAAAAAAAAAAAAAAGATACAATGTCACATTAGAAAACAACTGTTTTGCATGTCTAAATTACCTAGGATACCATAATGCACTCAGTGGTAGTTTCATTTGGCTTTGGTTTACTTCCAGTGGTCTCTATAAAGAATTTTTCGCTGAATAATACTTGTAGTGATGTCTTGTGTGTAATTTGTCGAGCATTTTCGCGATTTCAGTTCTTGACAATAAAGCGCTAAAGCCTCTTGGGTCATGCATGTGACAAACGCAATCATTTTCAAAACCTGATTATTTTTCTCAGCATTTTCTGGCATAGTTCTTACCTTGGTGTGGGTAAGTTTGGTCAAATGTGCTTGGTCTACTCACCAACGTACAAGTTTATTCAGGTACAGCTTAGAATCAACTCAGTTACATAAATCGTCATACACAGCAGCATGTTATTACCTAGTATTAGTAGCTACTTCCACAGCCACCACCGAATATATTACAATGTAACTACTATCACCGTTTTATTTATGCTTTGATAATGCACGCGGTTAAATATTATGAAATTTTGTTACAACACGTTTCACTGGCATTTTCAAGGCAACTTTTCAAATACTCGGTTACTAAAATTCCATTGGCTTTAAAAGTAAAACTTTTACCACTATATCTATCGACATCCACGACAATAAATAATCTACAAAACATATTTAATGGTTATCAAGACCTAGAACTACCCAAAGTTAAAATCTACCTGCTAAATTGCTTAAATAGAGCACATGAACTTAGGAAAAACGGAAAATACTGTATTAAACGAAATGAATTGTCGCCTCACCTCCGCGGTGTTCCAGAAGGACGTCACTGGCAGCCACGACACCCGACAACAAACCGGGAAAACATGTTGTATAACAAATTTCTTATTAATTCTCAATTATACACGTATTATTGCTACGAACTTCATTGAACTGAGACACTTGTTATTTTTATAGCATATTTTCTGCAAAAATATAGGGTTATGTATATTGATTGAACGTAAAACCCGCAAATTGAAAGCGAGTGTGACGTGTCTCAATGTGTGCCATTTTGACTTAAAATAATATTAAAGATTTTATATATACATTATTTGAAACTTTTTATATATTTAATATAATATTGTCATTTTAAACATACAGAAACGTGAAAAGATCATGCTACATAAGGCTGACATAGAATCAACAACAAGTTAATCTAACTCGAATAACACAATCAATCAACACAGATACAAACCCCACGAGTTCAAACCCCACCCGTGGTATGATTTGGGAATTCAAAACATAGTACATACAACACTCAATACACCCAAAATACACACGAGACAAAAACACTGAGACGTGTATACTCAAATATGATTCCCTAGATTCTACTAATAATAATTCACAATAAAACACTAATTCTCAAACACCCCGTCCGGAAGATTTCGTTCGGATTTTTAACCCCGAAGGGTTAGCCACCCAGGATAACCCAAGAAAGTCAGTGCGTCATCGAGGACTGTCTAACTTATTTCCATTGGGGTCCTCAATCTTGTCCCCCAGGATGCGACCCACACCAGTCGACTAACACCCAGGTACCTATTTGCTGCTAGGTAAACAGGACAACAGGTGTAAGGAAACGTGTCGAAATGTTTCCACCCGTCGGGAATCGAACCCGGGCCCTCCGTGTGTGAAGCGGGAGCTTTAGCCACCAGGCCACCCACTGTGGAAAATTACATTTAGCTGAATGTATCATTATGTACATAACAGTAAATGAACAAAGATAATTATTATTTATCAGTTAGACAAGTAGGAATTTGGGACACCTTGGTCGCAAAAAATGTCCCCCTTCGATACCTACCACTGTCATATCCACAAGTTGCTCTGGACCTATTAATTATAAATGAAATATACATACACCAGGAATTCTGGTAAATATATAAATTTGTGGACTGTATATTAAAAATAATAAATGATTATATATATACACATATACATAACAGAATGAGAATATATCTTAATATCACTCACCAATCACTAGAAACTAGCACCTTCCCGAAACTACTCAAGATGGCAAGGGTTACACCAATACATGAAGGTGGTGACCCTACAGACTTAAACAACTATAGGCCAATATCAAACTTACCATTGCTATCCAAAATTTTTGAGAAACTCGTGCACCAGGCCCGGTGGCCTGGTGGCTATAGCTCCCGCTTCACACACGGAGGGCCCGGGTTCGATTCCCGGCGGGTGGAAACATTTCGACACGTTTCCTTACACCTGTTGTCCTGTTCACCTAGCAGCAAATAGGTACCTGGGTGTTAGTCGACTGGTGTGGGTCGCATCCTGGGGGACAAGATTAAGGACCCCAATGGAAATAAGTTAGACAGTCCTCGATGACGCACTGACTTTCTTGGGTTATCCTGGGTGGCTAACCCTCCGGGGTTAAAAATCCGAACGAAATCTTATCTTATCTTATCTTATAACGGCACAAAACATACTCAACCCCTGCCAATTCGGATTCAGGAAAAATAAAAGCACTAATGATGCAATCATAAAAATGCTAGATCTGCTTTACACAGCATTGGAAAATAAGGAATATCCACTAGGAATTTTTATTGACCTAAGAAAAGCTTTTGACACAGTAGACCACGACATCCTACTCCACAAACTTGACCATTAGAGTATAAGAGGCCATGCGCTTGCTTATTTCAAATCTTACCTTACTAATAGGTATCAGTATGTCACCATTAAAGACACAGCATCAACAACACGGCCACTTGATACTGGAGTTCCGCAGGGAAGTGTCCTTGGTCCCCTGCTCTTCCTCATATACATCAATGATCTTCCAAACATATCCCAACACCTGAAACCCATTCTCTTTGCTGACGACACGACTTACGTCATCTCTCACTCTAATCTTGCCACCCTCAACACCATTGTTAACGAGGAGCTGATCAAAATATCGACTTGGATGACAGCCAATAAACTTAAGCTTAACACTGACAAAACCTACTATATTATGTTTGATAGCAGAGCAGGAGATGCATAAATTAACATTAAGATCGACAACGCTCTAATTACCAGACATAATGAGCGCAAATTCCTAGGCCTATACCTTGACAACAACCTGAATTTCAGCACACATATCCAACACATAACCAAAAAAGTATCCAAAACGGTTGGGATCCTCTCCAAGATACGATACTACGTGCTGCAAAATGCCCTTCTCACACTATACCACTCACTTATTTATCCATACTTCACCTATGCTATTTGTGCTTGGGGATCAACTGCAGCAACACACCTAAAGCCAATAATAACCCAACAAAAAGCTGCAGTAAGAATAATCACCAACGTACGAGCCACAGCCGGGCTGTGGCTCGTACGTTGGTTTGCGTGCAGCCAGCAGCAACAGCCTGGTTGATCAGGCTCTGATCCACCAGGAGGCCTGGTCACAGACCGGGCCGCGGGGGCGTTGACCCCCGGAACTCTCTCCAGGTAAACTCCAGGTAATATCTAAAAGCAGTATTAAATCAGAGAAGTGTTTTTGGGTATGCCCAAATGAGATCAATCTGTGGATTAAAATCACATTGGTATTAAAAGAGGATAACATCAAAGCAGCCTTCATAGAAAACCTGGAAGCGTTCTATAACAGATGGGAAAATAAAAATCTGGGCAGGATGGTATCGCCCTTGGTGCTGGTTATGTAGTCAGAAACTGTAAGGCTGGAGGTGCTGTCCTGGGTGATAGTAATGGTGAAGCTGAAAGTGCTGTCCTGGGAGACAGTAATGGTGAAGATGGAGGTGCAGGTGCTGTCCTGGGAGACAGTAATGGTGAGGATGGAGGTGCTGTCCAGGTAGGCAGTAAATGTACGCATGAGGGAATACATATAAATGACCTCGATGGAGACAGGAGCTGTTTACCTGGAGTTTACCTGGAGAGAGTTCCGGGGGTCAACGCCCCCGCGGCCCGGTCTGAGACCAGGCCTCCTGGTGGATCACAGCCTGATCAACCAGGCTGTTGCTGCTGGCTGCACGCAAACCAACATACGAGCTACAGCCCGGCTGATCCGGAACTGACTTTAGGTGCTTGTCCAGTGCCAGCTTGAAGACTGCCAGGGGTCTGTTGGTAATCCCCCTTATGTGTGCTGGGAGGCAGTTGAACAGTCTCGGGCCCCTGACACTTATTGTATGGTCTCTTAACGTTGTAGTGGGTAAACAAGTGTAGTCAAGGACAAGTTAAAACCAATATTACAAACTAGTAATACCACAGAAGATAGCAAACAAGGGGACTCCACTAGCAATAGTGAGAATATATTACCAGAAACAACTGGTGAGAGCTCCATTGTTAGTACTAGTGAGGATAGAAATGAGACAGGTAAACATGCACCAACAGGGAATAGTCACAGAAACCCAAGGCAAACGGAAACCAAGCCTGTGCACATATTATGCACTTGGTATCTGCAGGCATGGGAAATCTGGAAAAACAGATGACCAGCCGGGCTGTGGCTCGTACGTTGGATTGCGTGCAGCCAGCAGTAACAGCCTGGTTGATCAGGCTCTGATCCACCAGGAGGCCTGGTCACAGACCGGGCCGCGGGGGCGTTGACCCCCCGGAACTCTCTCCAGGTAAACTCCAGGTAAATAATGTCTAGCATTAGGAATATTACCTGGAGTTTACCTGGAGAGAGTTCCGGGGGGTCAACGCCCCCGCGGCCCGGTCTGTGACCAGGCCTCCTGGTGGATCAGAGCCTGATCAACCAGGCTGTTACTGCTGGCTGCACGCAAACCAACGTACGAGCCACAGCCCGGCTGATCAGGAACCGACTTTAGGTGCTTGTCCAGTGCCAGCTTGAAGACTGCCAGGGGTCTGTTGGTAATCCCTCTTATGTATGCTGGGAGGCAGTCGAACAGTCTCGGGCCCCTGACACTTATTGTATGGTCTCTTAACGTGCTAGTGACACCCCTGCTTTTCATTGGGGGGATGGTGCATCGTCTGCCAAGTCTTTTGCTTTCGTAGTGAGTGATTTTCGTGTGCAAGTTTGGTACTAGTCCCTCTAGGATTTTCCAGGTGTATATAATCATGTATCTCTCCCTCCTGCGTTCCAGGGAATACAGGTTTAGAAACCTCAAGCGCTCCCAGTAATTGAGGTGTTTTATCTCCGTTATGCGCGCCGTGAAAGTTCTCTGTACATTTTCTAGGTCGGCAATTTCACCTGCCTTGAAAGGTGCTGTTAGAGTGCAGCAATATTCCAGCCTAGATAGAACAAGTGACCTGAAGAGTGTCATCATGGGCTTGGCCTCCCTAGTTTTGAAGGTTCTCATTATCCATCCTGTCATTTTTCTAGCAGATGCGATTGATACAATGTTATGGTCCTTGAAGGTGAGATCCTCCGACATAATCACTCCTAGGTCTTTGACGTTGGTGTTTCGCTCTATTTTGTGGCCAGAATTTGTTTTGTACTCTGATGAAGATTTAATTTCCTCGGAGAGAAGTAAATAATGAAAATGATTGTTATAGGAATGCAGTTAGAAGCCTGAGTAGAACTATAACCCACTATGATAACATGAACGTAGATAAGTATGTTTATGGAGCATCGTGCAATGTGAACAGACTGACTGATGTTGTAGTGGCCAGGCTTAAGCTTGGTTACAAGTAATTCTGGCAGTTTGGGAGACACACAGATGATCAAACTAAATGCCAATTATGTGATCAGGCATATGGTCACTGTCTTGAACACTATGTGCTTAATTGTCCACTTATTGAGGAATACAGATACAGACAACATAATAACCTATATGACATGTTAAGTTATCTTATTAATGAAAATAAGATTCAAATTCAAATTCAAATTCAAAGTTTATTCT